GTCACCATTTTTTTCATGTTTGAAATCATCTGATTTCGGGTGCACAGTTTTAATGTGACAAGACTTACATGGCCTTTTGCGCAGTACCGTACGAATTCGCGACCGCTACTTGTCCTGGATCACAGGTTTTTTTTCATTCACATTGCTTATCGTCACAAACTCAACATCCTCGCATCCACTGGGCATGCGCCAGCAGGGGCGGGCTGTCTGCGCATGCGCCTGTCTTACAACAAACAAACGCTAGGGGGACACCACGAATTATCTATTTTGGAAGCTAAATCTTTATAAAACGATGGCAGGTAGTAATAGAACACCCTATATGGTGAATTCATAAGTGTGCAGCAGTTAACACAATTTATTTTCTTCCAAGTATGGTCATTTTGTTTGCTTTCAAACCAAATGTGCCGATGGAAATATGTGCAGTGTCTCGTAACCGCCACTGGATGGAGACATTAAGCCGTCACTCCTCCACTTTTCCAAACGAAAGCGTAGAAGAGATGGTGGTCTCAGGAATGAAATGTACCCCCACCATGCTCTATTGAAATTGATTTGTCATTTTATTTGAGATCACTTTGTTGTGTTTGTACATTTATTAACAATCATTTTAAGTGGAGCGTGCAGGCAGTGCGCACGTACCTGAGTTTTTCGCTGTTAATGCTTTTCCTCAGTCACAGTGTGTCTTCAGATTCATTGTGAGTCATGCAAAGTGCAATTACTCCCCCGCTGGTTTCCCCTCTGTCATCGCCAGTGTTGCAGACCATTCACCTCACACACTCAATCCTTCTCCTCTTTCTCACCCGCCCGCTTAAACATTCAGCGATAAAAATGTGTTTTGAGTGCATTAAAGGAACACCGCAGTGCAAAAACAAGAGTGTATCAGATATTTTGGTTTACAGCGTTTTTGCTGTGCTCCTCTGGCGCCTTAAAATCTGACAAGGCAACATTTTAATATCAGAATTTGCATTTGTGATCCCCTTCAAGTTCATCCTATTAGACAGCACACAGTTTTGCTTATATCCATATACACAAGACTGGGGGAAAGAGGGGGGGACTGGTAGATATGTGTGATCAAACCCACAAAGTCAGGAAATCTAGCATTTTTAGGTATAAAATGTTGCAGTTCAACCAGAGTTCCATTTCATATTCATCTTCATCTTCAATGACAATACCCATAAGCACAACAACTGTATTTATTAATGTTGCCAAATAGCACAAACAGATTGTTGCTATTGAAATTGCAGACTCACTGTCTAAGTCTGACTTCCTTTTAGACATGGACTACTGAATCTGCAGTAGCCTACTACTTACAGTATATTATTTATTCACAGAGTGATGAGGCTCGGCATCCTGCCAGACTCTCCTACTTCTCATCGTCTGAGCAGCCGTTGAGTGATGCCATCTACCACGCTGATTCGTCTTCACCTCAATGGATCACCGCTCATGACACAACCTCCCTCAGAATCATAGGAAGGTGCTGTCAGGTGCCAGATTCCAGACTGACGTCAGCATGAGTATGAGTTTACAATACTTCATGTGAAACATCTAAATATCCAGACACAACAGTGCTCCATTCGACCTGAGTCCGCGCTCCGGCTCGTCTGAATGACTATAATTTCTAGTCACGCACTAGTTTGACCTTACAACCTTAAAGGGATAGTTCACCCAAAAATGAAAATCCTGTCATTTACTCACCCTCAAGTTGTTTCTGTCTGAGCAGCCGTTGAGTGATGCCATCTACCACGCTGATTCGTCTTCACCTCAATGGATCACCGCTCATGACACAACCTCCCTCAGAATCACAGGAAGGTGCTGTCAGGTGCCAGATTCCAGACTGACGTCAGCATGAGTATGAGTTTACAATACTTCATGTGAAACATCTAAATATCCAGACACAACAGTGCTCCATTCGACCTGAGTCCACGCTCCGGCTCGTCTGAATGACTATAATTTCTAGTCACGCACTAGTTTGACCTTACAACCTTAAAGGGATAGTTCACCCAAAAATGAAAATCCTGTCATTTACTCACCCTCAAGTTGTTTCAACCATGTATACGTTTATTTCTTCTGTTGAACACAAAAGATATTTTGAAAAAGAAAAAAAAATTGGTGGTCCCCATTGACTTCCATAGTATTTTTTTTTTCCATACCATGGAAGTCAATGGGGACCATCAACTGTTTGGTTACCCATATTCTTCAAAATATCTTCTTTTGCGTTCAACAGAAAAAAAATAAATAAACTCATACAGGTTTGGAATAACCTGAGGGTGAGTAAATGATAACAGAATTTTCATTTTTGGGTGAACTATCCCTTTAAGGCTCGGTACAGGGTAATGCAAATAAAAACTTTAAGGCACCGTAAGCTCAAAGTGTTCCAAATGGCAGTCTGATATTTCCAAGAGAATGTCAGATGCGGGACAGGTCCCATGGGAGTGGCGCTGTGCATTAACAGATGTGTAAAAAGCTCCCTGCCAGGGGCCATGTCTGTCACACCTGCTACTGCAACTTCTCTTTCTGCTCTGAGCTGAACTTTTATTAGGGCTATCGCCATCTCCAGCTGTTCCATTCCAACAAATTCTCTGCACATCATGAGGGATGGCATCGCATCACACATCACAGTTTTTAATGACATTTCACATGATCGAAATTGTGAATGTGTTTTGAGTTCCCTGTAGTAAAGAGCATACAGATGGAAGTGAAATTAGCTAAGTAATTTGTGTCCCAATCATTCAGTCGAGGGTGTGAGACTGTTTAGGGTGCTATAGTGGTTTCATAAACATTCTGTAATAGATAGACTGCCACAGAGACAGAGAGAAAGCTATTACAGACAGACAGACAGACAGACAGACAGACAGATAGACAGATAGACAGACAGATAGATAGATAGATAGATAGATAGATAGATAGATAGATGAGATTGTGTTCTCAGTAAATGACTCAGATCCCACACAACTCGAGTGTAATTTTTGAAGTTAACATCATGCATTTATTTCCAATACTACCAGCAAACTAAAAAGTATTGCACAGTCCCTTCAAATAATTGCCTTGAGCAATCCAACACAAACTTACTATAGCCTAAGCAAATACAGGGGATATGACCATATAAACAAGAGCGGATATGTTTCATACCCCTCATACAGTTTGATAAATGAGTGTAAAACCAGGTGCCATTTTACAGGAGTGTGCATCATTTACGCCTATGAATAAAAAAAGTTTTAGATATTAGAAAGTGTTTTCAACAAATTCAACATGAATATACAAGGAAGGAAGCAAGATCTCTGAGTCCGTTTTTTTTTTAAGCAGTAAATTCTAAACCTGATTATCAACATTTTGAGGGCTCTTGCCTTTAAATGAGCATTTCAATGAGTGTTTTGTAAGATTGCATGTTTGCATCAGCTGGTTTAGCGAAACACTGAGTAATGTCACTTCTACAGGTGTTACATTTTTACAGACCCAGTCAAATATAACTCTGAAACTAGTGAGTTAAAAGAAACATCAAATCAAAAATAAAACAACAAGTCATGACACAGGGTGTGCAAAGAAGGATTATGGACCTAAGAGGCCCTGCTTTGTTATCTTTTCCACAGGGATTAAAAATATGTATATAAATGAGATCTTATATATTGTAATTGTGTCTTTACATTCCACAATTGCTACTTAAAAGTGAGACTTAACATCAGCCTAGTGAGCTGCTTTGTTTTAAGACAGAACCCTGATGTGAAACTTTAAAAGTGACCAGTCTGAATTGATTTTCATAGAAACTATGATTATTGAATGAAGCACACAGGATATACATGACTCACAATTGATTTCAACAGAGTCTGGCATTAGCAGGATGCTAAGCTAACAACAGGATACTCTAACAGGCATAAAAAATATATATATAACAAATATTTGGGTAAAACAGATCAGAGATCTTTAATTATAATTCTTTTATTGTTTTTCAGATTATATCACCACTGAAATAATCATACTTATTAGTCAAATGAGGTATCTTAGAAAGAAGCATAATTATACATAATCTTGACTCAAAATTGATTTCAACACAGAACACAAAAATATTGAGTAAGCAATTAATTTTAATTAGATATTAGATTCGATTATTTTTATTTTTATATTATTTTAGTATTGTAGTCAGTGGTAATGGTAAGATAGTCAATGGAATATCTTAAAAAGTATGACTTGTATGACTATTTTGACTTGACACAATTAATTTAAGTACTTTGGAATTAGCCTGTTCCTAAGCTAAAAATGCAATACTCTAATAACCATACACACAAGCAAGTATTGGGTAAAATAATACATCTTAATGAAATCTTTAAGTTTTGTGTTTTTAGTTCTGAATCATAACTATTAAAAGTGACAATGTTCTTAGAAAGTATCAAAATTATAATAAGACCTACCTCAATTAATTTCAGCGTTTGTAATTAACATGTTGCTAAGCTAACAAATCAATACTCTAAAATCATAAAAATATACAAATGTTGGGTAAAATCATCCTTTTTTACATTTAATTAAAATATATTTTTTTATAAAATGTTCACTGCTGATTTGCTAATTTATGCTGCCTGTACATTTTAGAACAGATTTTGTGTCGGTAACATGCCTATGGTGCCATAAAATACTGCCTAAGTTGGCATCTCACTAGGTTTTAGAAATGAAGATCATATTTCACAATCCATATTTCACAATCCAATCATGTCCTCATAGATAAAATTAAATTCCACCCTACTTTTTTCTAAGTGCATGTCATGTTTCACTCAGAAATACAGTATGAAAACTTCTCACAATTCTGACTTGCAAATGCAATTTGTCAATTAAATTGTATGCCCATTTACTTAATTCAGTATCTTAATGACAGGTAGCATTTGTCTGTCAGTAACAATTTTACTTTTCCTTTGTTTTCACAGTCTGGAAGCTCCTTGTCCCGGTCCATAATCCATCCCTGAAGATGTGGCAATAAATACTCATACAATATTTAGTATAAATAATATATATATATATGTATATAGACTGTATATAGTATATATATATATATATATAGCATCTCACTTCGATTCCTGTGTGGCACCGTTGTTGCCCACTATATTATATTCATATTTTGTGGTGACAGCAATGATTCAACCACTGCTCTCATATCGATCCATCGATCTCAACTCATCTGGCTAGAGCCGTAACTCAAAAACGATACAACACGTTAACATCAAAAACACTACGCAAACACTGTGGTGCTGTAAATTTGCTAATGTGTGACAGTGTTTCTCGCAGCAGGTTCTCTAATCGAAACAGAGTCACAACAATCAAAATCATACAAGCTCGTAAAAGCTCAAGAAGTGGTGACAGATGTGCGATTGTTCAGTAGCGTTGAATTTGTCAGTGTGACGCTAGATTGTAGATCTGACGATGGCTTGTACAGTCTTAGCATGTGGTGGCGTACTCGTTTGCGTTTGACTCTTGTGTGACTCTCGGTTTAGTCCTCAGCACTGCTCTCTTGTGAATCCGGACGCAGAAAGCCCTTCTGGAAGTCTTAGGCTATGTGGCCATGGTTAGAGTGGCAAACGGATGTGCATGGCTGAGCTGTTGGACCTGGCGGCCAGGATGTAGATAGCACTCTCCCTCAGGAAGTTGTCCCAGGTAACCGGTCTGGAAAACGTAATTGTAAAATAGAGTTAACTCAGACAGTTAAAACCACTATTAAACCACAAATTAAAATTAACAAATTAAAAGCCCAATCTTGACATATGTTATAAATATTGACCTATAGCTGCATTCATGCCATGTCGTGATTACTGTAATTTCGAGATGACAACACGTGAAGTTCTATTCTGAGCTGTTCCAAGTGCTCGGAATTACACATTTCTATGGCAACATTATCAACATCACATCTTTGTAGAACTCAACTTCCCAGCTTACAACTTGTAAGCTGGGAATCTTCTGAGGGCTCTGACTTGTACCAAAGTCCCTTTAAGGTAAGTTATTTCACTCGGTGGCCATCTTTGAAATACCTTGAATGGGGAAACATCAAACTCGCCAAAACTGTTCACCAAACTTACGATTAAATCTCATATTTGAAATCACCAATGAAATCTGACAATAACTGTCTCATAAATGTTGTTTCTTTTGCTCAAATAGCGTTAAAAAAGCTTATTTTTCAGGCTAGACCAGCCAGTGCGCATGCACAGTAATGAGTTCACGTCTCAGAACGCTGACTCTTTCTATAGCAACCGGGACTTCTAACAGCAGCTGCAGTGATGCGCTGACTTTACCGATTAGCGATTGGCTCTTTTGTTCAGAAGGCAGGCTTCGTTCGATAGAGCGGCCATATTGAGCATTGCATGAGTGACACTAGAGTCTTGGGTATTCTATAGACTTTGCTTATACCACCTGACCACCACAGATTCAATTGGGTGCTACTTAGAATGTTGCAAAGAAAGTCACATGCTGTTATCTCGAAATTACGGTAATTATTACATGGCGTAAACACAGCCTATTTCAAATCTTCTATTTTTGTCAAAAATTCAAGAAAACTTTGTCCACCCAAACTGGCCAGTTTGAGAGTTCCAGTCTGAGGCAGCACTATCAGAGTTATACAAGACAGTGATTGCAATGCTGTTACTGGGTGGTTGCTAAGCAGCTGCTGGGATGTTTTGCATGGTTACTAGGGTGTTTCTAGGTGGTGAATATGATGTCTTAAGTTGCTGTAAGGGCATTGCTAGTTGATTACAGTTGCTGTTGATTCACAGGGCATTGTTAGGAGGTTGCTTGGGTGGTAGAGGTGGTTTCTATGCAGTTGCTAGGGTGTTTCTACTAGGTGGTGCCTAGGGTGTTGTAGCGGTGGCATTGCTAGGTGGTTGCTAGGACATTCTGGGTGGTTTATATGCTGATGCTAGGCAGTTGCTAAGCAGTTTCTAGGATGTTTTTGATGGTTTCTCGGATGTTACTATGAAGTGCCTAAGGTGTTCCAAGTCGTTGCTAGGGTATCACTAGTAGTTTACTAGAGAGTTGATTGACAGGGCATTGCAGGGTGGTTTCTATGGTGTTCTGGGTGATTGTTAGTTTGTTCTGGGTGGGTGGCTGCTAAGCTGTTGCTAGGTGGTTGCTAAGAAGTTATTAGGGTGTTTTGGATGGTTGCTAGTGTGTTTCTAGGTGGTGCCTAGGGCAATGCTAGATAGTTACTTCCTTTTTCTGGTTGGTTGATTGATTGGTGTTTGCTATGGTGTTCTGGATGATTTCTATGCTGTTATTGCTAGGTGGTAGCTAAGTAGTTAATCTGGGGTTCTGGATGGTTTCTATGCTGTTACTAGGTGGTAGCTAAGCAGTTGATATGGTTATGGATGGTTGTTAGGGTATTTCTAGGTGGTTCCTAAATTGGTGGTTGCTGGGGTTTTCTGAGTGGTTGGTAAGGTGTTTCTAGGCAGTGCCTATGATGTGCCTATATAGCTCAGATCCCTCCTTTATTGTAAGCCTATGTGATTTTTTCCACCATCTGAAAATCATAATAATGGGAGTTGATCATAATGTAAGCATTCTAGTATGGCTGTGCCACACACTTGTAGTTTGTAAGCAAACACACACACCAACCTGTTGTCATTCTCCATGGCTTTATCTCTGCTTCTCTCGCTGCTGGAACTGGCAGGACTGCTCTCGGATATTGGACCAACATGGCTGATACTACAGATGAAGACAGCAAGTGGAAACACATGCTGTTTCATTCAGTCTCTTCCACACAGACACACACACACTACCGTACAGCTCACAGCAGGTGACACTTCTACAGTCTCTGGGTTTTCAAACTCGAATTTGTTGTTCTCATGTGCTATGGTGTTCTGGATGATTTCTATGCTGTTATTGCTAGGTGGTAGCTAAGTAGTTAATATGGGGTTCTGGATGGTTTCTATGCTGTTACTAGGTGGTAGCTAAGCAGTTGATATGGTTATGGATGGTTGTTAGGGTATTTCTAGGTGGTTCCTAAATTGGTGGTTGCTGGGGTTTTCTGAGTGGTTGGTAAGGTGTTTCTAGGCAGTGCCTATGATGTGCCTATATAGCTCAGATCCCTCCTTTATTGTAAGCCTATGTGATTTTTTCCACCATCTGAAAATCATAATAATGGGAGTTGATCATAATGTAAGCATTCTAGTATGGCTGTGCCACACACTTGTAGTTTGTAAGCAAACACACACACCAACCTGTTGTCATTCTCCATGGCTTTATCTCTGCTTCTCTCGCTGCTGGAACTGGCAGGACTGCTCTCGGATATTGGACCAACATGGCTGATACTACAGATGAAGACAGCAAGTGGAAACACATGCTGTTTCATTCAGTCTCTTCCACACAGACACACACACACTACCGTACAGCTCACAGCAGGTGACACTTCTACAGTCTCTGGGTTTTCAAACTCGAATTTGTTGTTCTCATGACACCTCAGAGCCCTGAGAGATGATACCCAACCACTGGCAAGACAAAACTAGTTCACTCATGAGCAGAAACATGCATTCAGGACTTTAACTGGAATTCAAAATGCATTCTCAATTCAATTCTGAATGGCCCACAGCCCATGTATATACACTCTCCATCTCACAAAGTCCAGACATCGCATGCCATTCAGTACACTGAAATGATCTGACAAACTTCATTGACTGAAATAAACTGATTTGAAACAAGAAATTCCTGTACTTAGGTTCAATGACATGTGCAGCAAGAGTGCAACCATGACCAGAGTGTTGAATGGCGACTCAAACATCTCGTCCAGAACTGGGACCACTCAGAGTCGAGACTGTCTGCTTTAATCTCAAGCCCTCAGTTGATTTTAATTACCGTAAATTAGGATGCAAGCTTAGTCATGCCATAAATGTGCCAAACATACACACAAACACCCAAAATTCCATGCACCCGTGCACTCAGGCACTCATTTAACCTGCTGTGCCCCTTAAAACTGAAACTATCCTTAAGTGCTTCTCTGAGGGGAACAAAAGCCCCTCTTTTTGATCTTGATAATAGGAGGGCAAGATCTCATTTAATACAGCCACAGCGTTATTATGATACATTTAATACAGCCACCATTATGGAATATTTAGTAATTGAGGTGATAATGATTATAATGAGTATAATGACGATGATGGCCGGGAACGGTGTAAGATGTTTCCAGGGAAGGCCCATGCAGATCGAATGACTTACCCCATACTGAACAAAGGGGAACACAATCCCATGAGTCTGCAGGGCAAATGGACATTTAGCAGTGGTGAAAAGGATGGGATGATTGGTGGAAAAAAAACAATAGCATGGAGGATGATGTCAAAAAAGACTGTCCAAATATTTTTTTTAAGTGAGTGACGTGACATGTGGCCAAGTATGGTGACCCATACTTGGAATTAATGCTCTGCATTTAACCCATCCAAAGTGCACACACACACAGCAGTGAACACACACCCGGAGCAGTGGGCAGCCATTTTTTTTGCTGCGGCGCCCAGGGAGCAGTTGGGGGTTCGGTGCCTTGCTCAAGGGCACCTCAGTTGTGGTATTGAAGGTGGGAGAGAGCGCTGTACATTCACTCCCCCCACCTACAACCTTTGGGTTACGAGTCCGACTCTCTAACCATTAGGCCACGACTTCCCCAATATTGAATGTGCAATTATGTTAAATCAATCAAAATTAATTCAAAATATGTTGTATAAAAATATATACTGTATACCAGGGCCATGCACAGGGGGGTGGCCCTGTGGCTAGAGCCACTGCCCCTCTGCCCTCATTGGCTGAGGTGCCCCCCTTGGACCCCCCCGCACCCCCCCCCCCCCCCCACCAACCCCCCCCCCTAGAGATAACCAAGCAAGATTTGGCACAGCTGGAGAGAGGAAGACTCTTTCGATCCTGTTGGCTGACTTTCTATCATTCCCTCTTGCCATGGCTGACTCCCCTGTCCAGCCTGTTTGTGTCATTTTCTCTACCATCCCCTCCTTTCAAGCCTTCATTTTTGCGAACGCTCTTTCTTTCTCTTGCGTTTTTTTCTGTGAGACTCTGACTGCTCGTCTACACTGTCCGTACCCCCCACTGAACATGACTGCCCCCCAAATGTCTGTGCACGGACCTGCTGTATACATTTCCATTTAAAAATTTGGGGTAAGATTTTTTTTTTTTATAAATTATTTTGAAATTATTTTGAAAGATCACTGCATTGAATTGATCAAAAGTGACAGTAAAAACAAAATGTTAACAAAAGATTTCTATTTCAAATAAATGCTGTTATTTTAAACGTTCTATTCATCAAAGTATCCAGAATAAAACTGTACCATGGTTTACACAAAAATATTAAGCAGTACAACTGTTTTCAACATTGATAATAATCAGAAATTTTTCTTGAGCAGCAAAGCAGCATATTATAATGGTTTTTGAAGGATTTTCAAGTAATGATGCTGAAAATTCAGTTTTGCATCACATGAATAAATTACATTTTAAAATATATTTGAAAATAATACAGTTACAGTAATAATATTTCAGAATATGACTGTTTTTATTATATTATATTTGCTAAAACATTTTTGACATCTTGATGAGCATGAGAGATTTATTTCTAAAACTTTTCAATTTACCAGTATATTTCCCAGTTGTTCTTTATAGCTCCTGAATTTAAAAGAAACATAAATGAGAATTCCATAAGTGTCAACTTTATCTCAGATGTTTCTACTAAAATTCATCAGGAGAAATATAAATAGACACAAATGAGACAATTGTTGACATACTGTACACGTATACAGTATATAGTATATACAGATTATATTTCTGATTATATAATTATTAATAATTTACTTAATAATTTACTTAACTTTACTGATAATTTACTTAAACATAAATATATATATATATATATATATATATATATATATATATATATATATATATATATATATATATATATATATATATATATATATATATATATATATATATATATATATATATATATATATATATATATATATATATATATATATATATATATATATATATATATATTATTGTAACAAACGTTCGTAGATCAGGAAGAAGGAGGTGGGAACCGGCGAACATTTAAACATAAAACTTTAATAAACAAACGAAAGTAAAAGTGGCAGTCCCTCACGGACGACTGCCGCAAAAAACAACAACAACATAAAATCCAGGCCTGGTATTCTCTCATCTTTCACTGTCGTCGCTCCTCCTTTTATCCTTCCAGAGCTCCTCCGTGGGACTCGAGACCGGTGATTGGTAAACCGCTCATTATCCCGCCCCACTCGTCACAATTATGTAAACACAGACTTTTATTTTGGATACGATTAATCGCGATGAATTGATTTAACAGCACTAATTATAAATGAAAGATTTCATTTAACTTCCCCATTTAACCTGACTGCTATCTAGGAGGAAGATTTGAGATATTACAGAAGTCACATTTGTGATATTTCTTTCTGGTTGATGGTACTTGAGGAATGAAGGATTCACAAGGACAAATGATCCATTCGAAGTACCTGGCTCCATTTTACCCCACAAATCACTGCAAAAATGCATCATTTTGACTTTTGGGCTCTCAGAGTGAGGTTTGAATTATGATATGACTGGCATAGAGTGCTCTGTCAAAGTCAGTCCTTGTCCCTGATTTTAGCCTGGCATTGAGAAACTTTCCTCTTCCCTTCCACAGATGACCTCCCCCATCAGTTATATCATTTAATTTACTTTATGCATTAATCAGAAAAGTCAGAACTGTAAGCAAATGCACTGCTTAAATTATTCATACTTCCTCTGCAGAGTTCCTGAATGCAAAGTTAGCCCGTAATTCATGAGAAGAGATGGAGCATACATGCTAATAAAGTGATGGCGGTTAGCATTGGCTAGCAGCTCGTAGAGGCATTGGCAGCTTGACATGGCTATAAAAACTGCCAAGCTTGATCCGATTAGTTGTTCCCAGAGGCCAGGCAAATTGGACGAGTCCCCGAAATGATTTTCAAGTGTTTGAAGTGTCTGAAGTTTATTGTTGATTATGCAAGTGGCTGTGATTGAGAATCGTTCATAAATGTCCTGCTAACTATAATTAGCCTCAATGACTCTCGTATATTCAGCTCACCTGACACTGCAGGACTGTGATTCTTTGTTAATCTTGTGGAACCAGGAGGTTTGGGCTTTTCTGGCTTCTCCGGCAGTAATGATCCCATCTTTGTCCTGGTCTATACTCTGAAATACGGCCCGTGCTCGATCCCTCTCCTTCGCTGTGATGATTTTCACCAGCGAATTCTGAATCGAGGAAAAACAGAATAATTTCCACAATGTTTTTTGTTGAATGGCTGATTGTTCATTAAATTTAGCATTTTGAAGGAAAAATCATTTTCACAATGCTTTAGTTTGAATGGTCGATTGTTCATTATAGTTTAGCATTTGGAGGGGGAAAAAATGAATAATTTTCACAGTGCTTTTGGTTGAATGGCTGATTGTTCATTATAGTTTATCATTTTGAAAAAAATATATAATAATTTTCACCATATTTTTGGTTGAATGGTTGATTGTTCATTACAATTTAGAATTTTGGAAAAAAGAAAAAAAATTAATTTTCACAATGCTTTTGGTTGAATTGTTGATTGTTTATTATAATTTAGTATTTGGAGGGGGGGGGGACGAATCATTTCCACAATGCTTTTAGCTGAATGGTTGATTGTTCATTATAATTTAGCATTTTGAAAGTGTTTCTGTATTTCTGGCAAACATAAACAGCCAATCAGCCAGTTAGGATAATGAGCTAGATTATTCGATGGAAGGAGTGTGTACTCATACCACTCATAAATGTGAATGTTAATAAATGGGTAAACATAAAGAAACAAAGAAATTACTTTTATTTCACAAAAACACTACAGTTGATCAAAAGTGACAGTACAGACATTTATAATGTTACAAAAGATTTCTATTTCAATCTCCTCAGATGGGGATGAGAACAATCTTGTAATCGTTGCGCAATTAGTTTGAGTCTTATGTGTACTTTTTCCTCAGTGACGGTCATAAAACATAAAAATGCCTTTATATCTGGTCATTGCACATTTTCCAATAATGCAAACATGCTAAATTTGTCCATGTCCCACATTACCTCAGTCCGGAATTTCTGCAGCACTGAAAGTGACTCATGGTAGAGGAAGTCAGACCACTCAATCTGACCCTTCTTGTCTGGATCCAGAGCTGCAAACTGGGCCAGAACCTCCTCTTCCTCCTCATCGGTCAAGTCTCTTTCGAAGAGCTGCTTGGTCACAAAGTGCCTGTACTGCAGGAGTTCATCTGACACCAGGCACGACTCTGTGAGAGGGGAGCTACTGCATCATCAATCAATGGAAACAGGCCAGGCTTAATTACAGTACTGATGTGATAAATTAGTAAACCATTAATTAGCTTCCTTAATTTACTGCACAAAAGCACATATTTAAACCAGAATCTAGAAGAGGCTGTTAAAACGGGACTGAGAGAAACACCTGGGATGATCTTGCACTGTTTGAAGGTTTCAATGAGGCTGTACATCTCTTCTTCAGTAAGCAGCAGGTTCACATTATCCTGAGGGAGGAAGAGGAAGAGTCTTTCAGTTCTGGCAGAGCAGACACTTCACTTTAAAGAGAATATTCGATTACATTGCTTCCTTGCTTGTGGACTAACCGTTGAAACAACTGTATCAACAGGAAATCCATTTTCAATACTAATATACAGTAAGAAGCATTTTGCATTTGCTACTCAAATGTAAGATATTTAGAAATGAGTTTAGCATGAACAGGATGATGATACATAACCCACTGTATTTTTTAAGAGGAATAAAGGGAATCATTTTCTAATTTAATGATCACACGAAATTGAAAATCATGAAAAGGTAAGTTGACCTAGGGGCAAGAAGCTGTCTGCCTATCCCAGCTGCCATCTGTGATTTTATTTACTTATTTATTGTCTGTCATCAATGTAAAAACTAAATCAAATATGTAGTATTTTAATGGATTCTAATATTTATGCATTTTAGCACATAAAATCGATTGAATGATTATGCTCATTGGATCTACAGGTTATGATGAATAATGAAAATGATTGAAATTATATATTTTTTTTACACAAGAATCCCCCATTAACAAACAGAGATAAATATCCAGCATAAAATAAAATCACAGATCACTATTATCCAGTGTCAAAACATATATCATTTAAACTAAAAACTGTTCAGATGTAATAAATCACAGAAATGTTGATGTTTGATTAAAGTAGAGTTGTCAACCGATTAAAGTTTTTAATCCTTTTTCAAACTCACAATATTTACTGATTAATAATCCCAGTCACATTCTTGTAATCGTTGCGCAATTAGTTTGAGTCTTATGTGTACTTTTTCCTCAGTGACGGTCATAAAACATAAAAATGCCTTTATATCTGGTCATTGCACATTTTCCAATAATGCAAACATGCTAAATTTGTCCATGTCCCACATTACCTCAGTCCGGAATTTCTGCAGCACTGAAAGTGACTCATGGTAGAGGAAGTCAGACCACTCAATCTGACCCTTCTTGTCTGGATCCAGAGCTGCAAACTGGGCCAGAACCTCCTCTTCCTCCTCATCGGTCAAGTCTCTTTCGAAGAGCTGCTTGGTCACAAAGTGCCTGTACTGCAGGAGTTCATCTGACACCAGGCACGACTCTGTGAGAGGGGAGCTACTGCATCATCAATCAATGGAAACAGGCCAGGCTTAATTACAGTACTGATGTGATAAATTAGTAAACCATTAATTAGCTTCCTTAATTTACTGCACAAAAGCACATATTTAAACCAGAATCTAGAAGAGGCTGTTAAAACGGGACTGAGAGAAACACCTGGGATGATCTTGCACTGTTTGAAGGTTTCAATGAGGCTGTACATCTCTTCTTCAGTAAGCAGCAGGTTCACATTATCCTGAGGGAGGAAGAGGAAGAGTCTTTCAGTTCTGGCAGAGCAGACACTTCACTTTAAAGAGAATATTCGATTACATTGCTTCCTTGCTTGTGGACTAACCGTTGAAACAACTGTATCAACAGGAAATCCATTTTCAATACTAATATACAGTAAGAAGCATTTTGCATTTGCTACTCAAATGTAAGATATTTAGAAATGAGTTTAGCATGAACAGGATGATGATACATAACCCACTGTATTTTTTAAGAGGAATAAAGGGAATCATTTTCTAATTTAATGATCACACGAAATTGAAAATCATGAAAAGGTAAGTTGACCTAGGGGCAAGAAGCTGTCTGCCTATCCCAGCTGCCATCTGTGATTTTATTTACTTATTTATTGTCTGTCATCAATGTAAAAACTAAATCAAATATGTAGTATTTTAATGGATTCTAATATTTATGCATTTTAGCACATAAAATCGATTGAATGATTATGCTCATTGGATCTACAGGTTATGATGAATAATGAAAATGATTGAAATTATATATTTTTTTTACACAAGAATCCCCCATTAACAAACAGAGATAAATATCCAGCATAAAATAAAATCACAGATCACTATTATCCAGTGTCAAAACATATATCATTTAAACTAAAAACTGTTCAGATGTAATAAATCACAGAAATGTTGATGTTTGATTAAAGTAGAGTTGTCAACCGATTAAAGTTTTTAATCCTTTTTCAAACTCACAATATTTACTGATTAATAATCCCAGTCACATACAGAGAAAAGCCCCCAATCATCATTAAAAAACATGTGGCAGATTAATAAATCATGGAATGGATATTACAAAAAGTTGTTTATTTGTTGATCATTATTCTAAATGAACACATTAAGCTGACAACCCTAGTAAAAAGATGTAAGAAAAAAAGGCTTAATGAGAAAAACATCCTGCATAAAGCCTCAGGGCCCTTCAGGCTGAGCCTTAAAAACACTGTTACATTAATTATCCCCAGCAGCAGGTGTTTCAATCTCTCTCTCCCCCCTTTATCTTTCTAAAAAGGCTAACAATCTCTGAACCAAAGGTAATGAACGACCTGACTAACACAGCTTTTAAGGAAACCTAATGAGTTTGAGGTGTAAGAGGTGCAGGAAGAAGCTCTCACGGATCAAATGACAGCTTGTCCTTTCATATCAAATTCAGAGCGAGATTTCTTTCCTGGCTCAAGTTCTGCCTTCAGAGCCCAGTAGCTGTATTTTCAATCAGCTTTCCTCAGCCTGATGAGAACTCATCTGAACAATGGCACTAGAGCAGATGGTAAGGGTACGTCTCAGAGGTACCTCCATTTCCTGTCAGCAGTGACTTTAGAGGATGATCACTGAAATGAGATTGGATTTCATGTCCGTTGTGTTCCACGACCCATTCTCAACAGACATCGATCAGAGACCCCAAAATGAGGTACAAATGCTATAAACAATGCTTAGCAAGAGGTGGGATTCATTGGTTGTCTCTGAGGCCACAAACATACTCTGCAGGTACACAGATGCGAAGGTTTGGCGTTCACATCTCAGTGGTAGTTTCTCTGATCCCCTGGAAAGATGTGATTTGAAGGTGTGCTATCTTTGCTCACGGGTGCACAGTTATGGTCGCTTTTTTTGGAGCCAGTAAACACCATGTGACTATATAGCTGCAGGAAAATTACATTATGTCAACACAGATTGGCTGATGGCACCAAAACATGTCCAGTCCCAAGTTATGAAATGAAAATGAAACATTTCAGATTCATAGGTTGCTTGCAATGATTCCAGTACACGGCTACTTTTGAATGAATGATCATAGATGTAGAAACTGATTTTTACCCACAAAATGGTGCAGTTATAGCATCTACCAGCTGGGGCTAACTGACCATGCAAAATAGCAAAACCTTGACCTACTGGTTGAAATATTGACATTAAATCAAAATTTCATAAATTACATTATACTACGGTTTTCACACCTCAAGACATTGTTCAGATGTTGTAGGCTATTTCAGGACATTCGTCCGGTTTTCGTCCATAAAACACTCTTGTGTGTAGGATTAATTTCTTACGCATCTCATCCCAAGCCTCCACTGCTAATTCCAAAACGTCATTGTTGTCCTAGTAACGTAGGCTTGAGCCGTTGATGGCAGACTAATGCAGTTATTAATGAAGTTATTATAGAGAGAGAGAGAGAAAGAGAGAGATTAAGCATGTGTGATTTACCTGAGTAATTCACTGACCTACTGGTTGAAATATTAACATTAAATCAGATGTTGACAGTTGGGATGTGTGTACTTTCACGGGCAAAAAAATGTCCATTGTCTATTGCCACTAGTGTAGCGATATATGAAGCAAACCAAGCAGCTTTCTGTTTGTCAGCATTGTGAATTTGCATGACTAACTTGAACCCAATGTGAAATCTTTTACCTTCAAGCAAAAATCCCAATCACTCAAATTCCTATTGAAAAGACCGCAAAAATTCACCAAACTGTGACCTTTATTCCACCATGACAGTAGGGCTAGGTTCAAAATAGAAAAGTTTTTTTTTTATTATTGTGTTTTGTTTTAAATAAATGAATAGTGTGCAGTATCCAGTTTTAAGCTAGTTCCAAACTGACCTGAAAAAGCAACTGGCTATCCACATTTTAAAATTTTTATACCCTTGTGGTGGAAATCAAGTTTTTAAAATGGTTTACATGTCTGTCTAGTGACTTTAACATACTTAAAGACAATCCATGTGCAAATTCACCATTGCTGTGCATTTTCTTCTTAAAAATGATGTGTACCAAAGACAGTCTCAAAAACGCCCTTTCTAAATTCAGAATTTGAATAAATTCCCTCACAGATTCACTCTCCAATAACCATTCATCCAATAATGCCACTTGCCATTGTATAGCATTTACAACTTCCATTAAATGAGTAAAAGTACAGTGTTGTCTGAGCTGGTGTAACTGAGTGGAGGTGGGGACTAATTTGCATATTCATGAATCCATATGTAGCTACATTCAAGCATTTTAAAATACAATGAAATTATTTTCAAGGGAAAAATGTTTAAATATGTCATTTGTGATGACCAGTGACAGCAGGGGGACTTTAACGTAAAAGCGGGAGTGGTCATTTGTAACTTGAAAGCATGAGTAGGGATGGGCAATATGGGCTCCGGTTCCCGTGTCTGAGCCGTGACGCCCCGCAGATTTGTGCAGAGCGCGAGTGAACGCGATCATTCCTTCCTCTGTACTACTAGTTTTAACACGAATAAACATGACTGAACATCTCATGCCTCATGTAATTGCTCAATCAGTGTTTCAACCGCGGAAAGACATCAACAATATAGCATGGAAATAAAATGTCACGTAGCATTTAATTTACCTCAGCAAGTCATCAGTGTCCACAGCTCGTTAGTTCACTAGAGAAATTAAGTCTAGAGAGGAGCATTTTGCGAAATATTACACCATATACTCATTATATTTTACTAAACCTGTTAGTCTTAATTACTTAATGTACAGTATGTTTAAATTAATCTGTTATGAAACATGCTATGACAGCCATTGAGTAATTGAATATATTTTAACAAATAGCTTAGACATTTTATTATTTATAAGTTAATTTAAAAACTGCATTATGTGCAGTTTTTTAAGTTGAGTGTTGATCATCTATTTAAAAATAAATAGCAATTAAATTTAAGTTTGGGTTAAGTTGTTAGGCCTAATTGTAACCTTATAATGTAAAAGGGCTCCCTATAGTTTTAAGCATAAGCTGAGGTAGATTTTTATCACTAAGAAAATTTAAACTATAACTGAATGTATTTAAAGAAAGACCAACTTCTTCAGTAAACCATTAAAAATAAAAAAATAAAAAGTTTAGTTTTTCCCCCTGCTGTACCGAAATCATACCGAACCGTGACGTTAAAACCGAGGTACGTACCGAACTGTCATATTTGTGTACCGTTACACCCCTACTATATACACATGCTGTAATGGTCTGGGTGTCTGTCCCTTTAAGACTCTGATTCGGGGTTTCCTCTGCCCCTGCACTCATGTGTATATGCTGGGGAAAAACACATTGTACTTTCTATCATTTGGTTGCACCTTCCTTTAACATTAATACATAGGTTGATGGTGATCTGCATTGTGTGTTTCTTTCTTCCATAACGCACAATAGGTTACAAGTGGTGCCCGAACAAAATTCCTGGTTTATTTGCGAATATGTCATGTAATTATAGTGATCGGCCTGCTCGAATCGTTGGTGGATGACGCCGCGGAAACGGACCTGGCCGACTGAACGCATCTATGGGAGTGCCTCCTCCAAGGTGTAGTGGTGCAAGTGCTCATAATCAACAGGAAACCTGGAACTTTGTTTTCGTTTGGAAAAACTGTGTCTTATTTCACCGCAGTTGGGACTAAAAAGTCGATTCTCCACGGGAGTTGGACAGTGCAGACTAGATTTCACAGTGAGTTGACGGCATTCAACAGAAGTTATTTGCCCTTCATCGCATGGACTTCTGTTGCCATAGAGACTGACTTGGCTCACGTGCGTTCAGCGGTACTATGGTTTGGGTTGGATTGTTGCATTTTTCATTGACTTTGAACATCGTTCGTGAGTGGATTTCAAGTTTGAAGAAACTTCTTTATGTTTCCTTTCTGCTGATACGGGTATGTGCAAGCTGCGTTTCCCCTTCAGGAACTCGAGCTGCGTCGAGTCGCTTTGGGGAACGCCCTTGCGTGACTGCGTTCTGAAGCACGTGTCAAATCCGTCCAATGGAGCAGCGAGACGTCACGAGCAGGGTGACGTAAGCACCAGAAAGCATAAAAGCACATCCGGCCGGGCGCAAACCAGCTTCTGCCCTTCAGTAGCGCTCTGTGTATGTGTCTGTCTATTTACTGTTGTCTGGCCTCACAAGCACTCATATATATAAAACAATGAGAAAGTCTATGGCGAGTGAACGGCATTACAAATGCTGTGTTTCTCCCTGCCCACGATATCTGGCGGCGGGGGA